CAAAGGAGCAAAAGGGGAATACTACGTGTTTGTGATTTGTACGCCTTGTGAGACGATTCGAGTGAGAGGCTAAGAGGAAAGGGTTAGTGGGAGGGGGTTGTAAATATCTCCTGAAATTAAAAGATATTGAAATTCGATTTCCCACGAAAATGTAAAAAATCTTAGGGGTTTAGGCGGGATTTCAAATCTATTTTGCCATGTCATCGATCCGAGTGATCTGTGTTTATTGGCTGTTTCCTTCTCGCGATTTAATCCTACCCTTGCCTATGTGTTTTCTTGTGTGCTTTGTTATTTTTTTTTTTTTCCAATTTTGTAAAGAAACGCAACGTTTTATATAAAAGGAATAAAATAAATCTGTTAGGTCAAATTCGAGAGCCCCCTTAATGACAGAATAATACTCGAATCTTCGCTTTCCTAAAAAATTTATTAAATTCGAGCATAAATTTGTATTATACTGATTCAACAATACATCCACATGTAAATTCAAAATCTTACAGTATGTTGTTTAATCACCTCATCATGACGGTTGTTCACGGAGAAGTAAAATTTTCTTAAAGAGGAATAGAGATGGAATACACTTACGTTTGATAATTTCAATTTACAAACTCTCTGTAACTTAAGGTCGATTCAACCAATGAAGAAAATAGAAATGGACTATACTTTGTTTAAACACCCTGACTGAGAGCAGAGTCAGTGGTTACCCAAATCAACCAAACTCGCCACTATTTTCTGCGAGGAATATGATCATCGTTTTAAGTAGATAGTTCATGGATAATGGTAGGATCAACCTAGAATAACTTGAGAGTAAGAAACATTAAATCATACCAACATTTCCTTACAACTACAAGACAATGTAAATTAAAAAAAAAAAAAACTAAAAATGGTATAACAGAGCAAAGAGTACAAAGCTGCAAGTCTCTCTTTTGACCATCTAATGATTCTACAATTCACTTTCTCCGTTCAAAGGGCTTTTTATCCGTAGCATCAGTGGGAGGTTGTACAT